AATAATAGAGCAAGACAAGCAGAGTAATCAATTAAAGCTAAAAGAGAAAGGATTTAGATTAGTTTCAAACAAACAAACAAAAAAAACCTTTCCAAATTAAAGAATATGCAGGGGAAAAAAAAAGTTCATTGAGCGATACCAGAGAATGTCCTTCGTCAGGATGGAAACTAACACTCAGCCTTGCTGGATGCTATTAGAAATAAATCCCTTCAAGTATGGAAGGGATTAACCTAGAAATTCATTTTAGGCCTATAAGAAGTCATATTTGGCTTTAAGCAAGGAGAGAAGTTAAGTAGACATCAAGAGTCTCCCCTTGTGTCCATTAGCCAGTCTATTCAGGGACTATGCTTGTCTTAACACTATAACCGCCACCATTTTCTAGAACTCAGCCTGAGCATATAATATGTACTCAGTAAATATTTGTTGACTGACTGAATTAGAAAAAATAAAAGAATATCAAAATGACATGTTTATGGAAGATTCTGTAAGTTTTGGAAACTATCTTGAATAAGGTAAGACTCTGCTTCAGAAGGTAGTCTTGAAGAAGTCAGAAGAGGGAAGCGCTGGAGCACTGAGGGCACTGGAGTCAGACCATAACTGAAGAAGAGTTTGACTTGAAAGACTTCTAAATAAGAACCTACTGGACAGGGGCTTCCCTGGTGGCTCAGTGGTTAAGAATCCGTCTGCCAATTCAGGGGACACAGGTTCGAGCCCTGGTCTGGGAAGATCCCACATGCCACGGAGCAACTAAGCCTGTGTGCCGCACCTACTGAGCCTGCGCTCTAGAGCCGGCGAGCCACAATGATTGAAGCCTGCGCGCCACAACAACTGAAGCCCATGCACCTAGAGCCCATGCTCCGCAACAAGAGAAGCCACCGCAATGAGAAGCCCGCCCACTGCAACGAAGAGTAGCCCCTGCTCGCCGCAGCTAGAGAAAGCCTGCGCGCAGCAACGAAGACCCAACACAGCCAAAAAGAATAAAAAAAAAAAGAAAAAGAACCTACTGTATAGCACAGGGAACTCTACTCAATACTCTGTAATGATCTATATGGGAACAGAATCTAAGAAAGGATGGACCTATGCATATGTATAACTGATTCACTTTGCTGTACAGCAGAAACTAACATAACATTATAAATCAACTATATTCCAATAAAAATTAATTTAAAAATAAAAATAATAAAAAAAGAAAGACCTCTAAAGAAAGGAGTAAGACAGAAAACGAATGATAAAAGCGGCTGCAATAATAAGGGATGACGTCCTAGAATTTTTCAGCAAAGAGCAAGATGTTCATGTTTAATCAGTACAGTGTTAATGAAAATAATCCAAACATGTGAAGACTTCAAATTGTTCATATAATAATGATAAAAGCATCAGCAGACAACACATGGGAGCACTTCTCTTGTGCTGGGCCCTGGGTAAAATGCTTTATGTATAGAGTATGTTGATTAAGCGCAAGTGCTCAGATCAACTCCCATACCTCCTCCAAATAACTTTGATCAAGCCATTTGATCTGTGTCTAGGTGTCCTGTGTCTCATTATCTGTGAGATAATAATAGCATCTATTCTCTAGGCATGAAGTTGCAAAGATTAAATGAGAATGTGTGGGGAGAGAAAATATAGGAAATTTTAGAGTTCTAATTTCACATAAAGACAGGAGTAATTGGTACAGCCTGATGAGTATGACAGGTAAGCTGAGGAGAGCAAGTCGTTCTCAAAATAGTGAAAACAGGACTCACCCATCATATCACTAGGCTGGGCTAACTATATCTCTCTTTGATATAGTAAGTCATCCCTTACTTTATTCTTACTTTCCCCTTAATTTCATCATTTTCAAAAATTAATTTCAAATATTTCTTTTCATGCATGTCTCCATCCCTGAACCACGAGCGCCTTGAAGACAGGGGATATGTTTTAAATATCATTTATTCCCAGCCCCTAGAATCATGCTTGACACACAAATACTTGTGCTAGAATGACTACATGAACAACAGGAAAAGACCATATGAGAAAATTGATGTGAACGAGATTTACAGCAATTTTTTTTTTTTTTGCAGTACGCGGGCCTCTCACTGTTGTGGCCTCTCCCGTTGCGGAGCACAGGCTCAGGACGCGCAGGCTCAGCGGCCATGGCTCACGGGACCAGCCGCTCCGCAGCATGTGGGATCTTCCTGGGCCGGGGCACGAACCCGTGTCCCCTGCATCGGCAGGCGGACTCTCAACCACTGTGCCACTAGGGAAGCCCAAGATTTGTAGCAAATTTTAAGAGGAAGATACAAGAAATACCCTCATAGAAGACAAATTTGATAAGAACATATAATTATTTCTATATATACATAACACAAATTATGTAGTACATATATACAAACACACAACCATCTATCAGTGTGTGTGCAAACACAGTTTGTTATTAAGATCTACCCAAAGTGACTTTCTTTTAATTTAACTCCATTAGTCATTGTTATTTCATTCTAAACCATTTCTTCTTACTAGATAAGGAACAGAAGTTCATGCCTCTTCCTATTTTTAAAAAGTGAGAAATGTAACTTAAGGTTGATATGGGGGTGATGGAAAGTCTTGGAACCATCTGGAAAGGGTAGAAGAAGGAATTTGAAGGGAGGAACAGGGGCCGTGCCGATCTTGGGAATTAACCCTAGGATAAGCAGAACTTTCTGAGCATTCTGCACTTCAGCACAATTCGGGCTCTTAGTATCTGCCTACCTTTATACCTATCTTCTTGAGTTTCTCCCTCGATTTCATAGTTTTCCCCTGGATTGACAACCTGACTGAACTCTGATTAACCTGTCTTCTGAGTTAACTCTCTACTGGTAAATAGCTGTTTCACATCTTCACACCCTGATCTTAAAATTCTCAGCTCTTTCCTCTTGAACTTAGAAATTCTTGGGTCAAGGAACCTCCTCTCAAACAATCTGATTTTAGGAGGTCATAATTCTTCTTAAATGTCACATATCTTATATTGGGACGAGCCTCTTGGTATGTAAGATTTACTCTACATCCCAGGAAAGCTATACTCTCTGTGTGTTAGTCTACTTTTCATGCATTCTTGGGTGAGACATGACCTAGGGCCTAGTCCTACCCCATGCAGAGTAGGTCCTCAAAAAATATTTGTTGGATAAAGGAATTAGTGAGTAAAAAGTCAAGGACTGAACTCCCTCCACTGCTTGCCTCTGAGCACACAATAGAGGGTACACAATTAGATTCTACTCAGAAAATCACCTTCTCCTTGAGACAGTCTCTCAACTGAAAACAGCTAGTAAAGTTCAGGGGAAGAAGAATCTGTGCTTAAGCTAGGAATTTGCTCTTCATTACCACCCGCCAAACACCACACATCACTAGCCTGAAACTAATGTATAGGTCCCAATCCCTGAAGCTCTATCTCATACCTACATCTCTCAACTATTACATCACAGAAGAGGCACAAACTAAAGCGTTTCCACCAAACTCTATGGTACCCGCTCCATTGTAATTTCCATTTCAACAATTGCCAGGGTACACACAGTTCTTTCAGCAAAATTAAACCTTGGGAACAGACAGATTCCCACCTTATACACCCCGTCCTCTAATTTGATCTTTTGAATTGTACTGATTTTCAATGGCACAGAGTCAAGATTATAATAAATTCCATGATGTGTTCGCTTTTTAAAAATTGTCCAGATACATCCATTATTTATATCATCCAACTAAACGTCAATAATAAACACCTTATCAATTAATCAACAGTTTTGTACACCTGGAGGGTATTCAATAAAAACTTTGCATCTAGCCTAGTAATAATACATTTACTAAGTATCAACCATATTCAAAAATAATAGAATTCTCAAACCATTCATTTTGATTCCATGGATGTTTACACTATGTCCTCTGAAGCCACAAAGTAATATTAAAATATTCAATCTAAAAGAAGAGTCTTAAAATTTTTGCATAGAAAAATTATTCTATTACAAGAACATTCATGTTTTATAATTTTTGCAGTCAAAATGACAAAACCAACAACAAAGAAAAACCAGAATTTATCAACCATGGTTCATTTTAAATATTAATGCTGTAAAAGTCAAAGGTAGCTATATAGCTCTTTAAAACACACACCTGAAAAGATCAGCCAATATATCATTAGATAAAAATAAGAAGGCATCAAACACTATTGTGATAGCAGAAGGTTTGTGTCAATTTCATCAATCTAAAAATAGGTCACAGAATGAGCTTAAAAAAAAACAGGGTAAGGTCAATATCACAAAGTGATTAAAGAGATGGAAGAGAACTTTCTTCTAAGTCATTAAACTCACCAATATTATACTGAACTCCAGAGCACTTACCATTTTCCTGTGGCATTAGAGAATTTAGTAGGTTCACTGAATTGACTGATTTCTTTGTTAACCTATTTACATGGGTTAAGACCCTGACTGACATAAAACACAACCAAAAAAAAAACCCCAGACAGAGAGTGTAATGAAAGGCTGAGTGATGTATAGTTTGGGGTGCAGCCTAGCCAATAAATGTGCTTGACCAGCAAAGAACCTATTGGCAAAGATTTATTATCGGAACAAATACATTCTAAAAAGATCTAATACAATAAAACCTGCAGTATGAATACAAACTACGCTAAAATACAGTTCTTTGCCCTGCATAACATATAGCTTATTTTTTATGATTATATTAAAACTCTCTTCATTTTGTTCATTGAAGAATAAATTTCATTAGCTAAGTAAAACCAAAGAGTACAGTGTATGAAATGGCATTAGTAGTGTAGTTCTTTAATCCACACAAAACAAAGTTTATGTTACTTAGAACTCTTCAACTACCTTTAAAATATATATAAAGAAAAGGAAATATTTCTAGGAAATGTATTATCAAGAGAAAAGGTAAAAATGAATCACCTCTGAGAAAAATACATCATCATTATGTTTTAATTATATGTAACACATTAATATGAACTTAGTAAAAGCTAGAGCCAGACATATAAGTGATCTTAAATGATATACCTCCAAGTTCTTTTACATTCAAGATGGCATTCTGGAATGGCACTGCTTTTATACTAAAACCTACAATTAGAAAACAGAAAAGAAAGAATTAGCAACTTAAGTTTTAAAAATGTATAAAATGCTCAAATGCTCTTTTTTAGGCAGATTGAGTTATTTTTCATAGTTCATATTTACACCAGAAACACATAATTTCCAAGACAAACAGTTAACCTAGTATTATCTTCTACCATTTTGCAAAACAGTTGTATGTTACAGCAAAATATAACCCTTTTCTTCAAAATATTGCCTCATTCTTTAATACATAATGCCACTTTGTAAATTTTATCAGTTGCGAGAAAGACACTTGGAAGAATAGAGAAACTTCAAAGAAAATATTAAATCTCTCAGGACCTTTGCATCTAATTCCTAAGGTTAATCTTCCCTCACATATAACTTAGCAACCCTAGAGACTAAGGTATCAAAATGATAACCATCTTATATTGAATTACATAGTATTTATGTTAGCGTTTTCTTTCAAGGACATGGTTAAAGTCATACATAAATTTTTCTTAAAAGTACAATCATAATTACCATTTATGCATTTTATAATGCATGTAATAAATGACTTCTATTATAAAAGTATATTCAGAGTATAGTACTATGATTAATTCTGTATTTAGGACTTAATTATCATCATCTAAGTCAATCAATTCAGGTGTGACATATGTGAGTGTGCGTTTACCTATACACAGACACACACACAGATATATACACTAAATATTTCTGAAATGATCCACAAGAAACTGGAACATGTAATGACTCTTGGGAGAACTGAGAGTCTTCTTCTGGAGGTCTTAAATAGAAGGGAGATTCTTTTGTTTCATTTGAATACTTTGCATATACAGGTACTTCTTTTTCAGTTAAAAGCTCTACTAATTTTTAATAGTTAATTTATTCAGTAATTTCCGAGCACCCAATCAATTTAAGGTTTTGAGCATTATTTGATATGTACAATTACAAGATAAATAAGACACGGTCCCCTTTTCAAGAAATTATCAACAGGGTGAAGGGGAAAACAAACAAATACTTTCACTGAAGCAAGCTATGATGGGTGCCTAGAAAGGTAAAAAGATATAAAGTACAATGTGTATAAGAACAATTCTTTTACATGGTTTTGCTTTACTTTATTAAAAAACACGTTAAAATGTGCCTTATTATACTCCAGCCTATTATTACCACTCCTCTGTTGTATACTGTCCCAGAGCTTTAAGATTTTATATATTACCTTCTACTTAAGGCAGTGAATATCATGTAATGGTTAAAAAGTGACTTTGGAGTCAGACAGAACTAGGTTTTAATAAGCTCTATTACTGTGGGCAACTTAACAGCCTTGGCTTTCATCGTCTGTAAACTGGGAATGATAGTATCTATGTCACAAAGTTGTTATGAGGATGCGATAATGCATATGTTATCTTTATCACAGTGCCTGGTACAAATAAGCACAAAATATAAGACTGCTGACATTATATTTCAGTGGATGCCATGTTGTTGATGATTTAATCATTAGGTACACATATCTTCTGCCTGCCTGAATATATTACAGACTCAAGACAGAAATGCTGGTGCTCATTTATGAAGTATTTAGTTGGAGCCATAAATGTTATCACTGAATGAAAAGTACTTTTGTTGGAGTGATGGAAGCGTAAACTGTTGAAATTTGTTGTACAGAACGTAAATGTTCATTGGGCTCTCTGAGAACCTTCCAAAACATACCCTTCCTATGTGGGTTTAATACAGACTGACACAGTGGGCGTAGCACTATGATTAACGGTGCGTGCAGTCACTGAATCTTAGTAAAATAGCAGGAGTAGGGGGCAGCTTCATGTGGCTGACATACCGGCATATACCTGGGTCTGCAGGAAAGCCTCTCCAGGTGTCTGGCCTCTGGGAAATTACGGAAACTCAGCGCCAATCACAATACTCCTGCTGGCACTGAAATTCGCCCACAGGAGACTTGGATGCTTGACTGTATCTACCTACCACACAGGGGTGTTACATGGATTAAAAGGCAATGATTGTGAAATCCTGAAAACGAAAACACTATGTAAGTGCTAAACAGTCTATTAGTGGTTAGGTTCAGGACAACCCAAGTATGGATTTTCCAGAGAAATGGGACAAACCCCAACTTTGAAAAAGAAATAGTTATGGAGCACTTCAGCAATATTTCATCTGCTTTGATTCTTAAAAGCTGACAATATGCAGGCACCCAGAGGGAAGAAATATCCTTCTGGAAATTACCACACCCATATGCAAAATACAACTTTTGAAATTTATTGATCCAACAGGCAGATTATATGACGGTTCCCATCTTGAATCCTTACACAGACTTCATAATAAATTGACTACAAAAATGTCGTCCAATGTTCACTCTAAGCAAAGTAACCTAGCAATGCTATTTATAGGCATGTAAATGTTCCTGCAGAATACTCATAAATGTTTTCTCTTCACACAGAACATATGTGGCTAGGTTTATACTGCAAAGGTATATGCAGTCTTCCACTTTGCTGTCTTTGTATTATTTTTACAATATAGCTGTGGTAATTAATGTTCAGAGGATGAAGCCTAGATAATCAGTCCAGAAAATAAGAGAATGTACTATTTATGGAAGAGAAACAATATTTTTCTATTTTAGTCATTCTAACTGTTTGCAAGGATTAAAAAGACTTAAAATGTAAAGACACATTTTCAGTTCACCAGAAGGGCAATCAAGAAGGGCAACCATCAGATCAACTGTATTTTATTCCTTTACACTGAGTTGGATGAGGTCAAGAAGGGGAATTAATATTTAGTAGGGTTACAAAGGTCAATCCATCAAAATACCTTTCTCAAAGGGTTGACTTTGAGGAATGAAAATCACTGGATTGCATGGGCTGTACAGTAAGAATGTCTGGGTTCAAATTCTGGCTCTACCATTATTAACTGTCTGACTCTGAGCAAGTTACTTAATTCCTCTGTGCCTCAGTTTCCTCAGCTGTAAATGAAAACAGACGGTAATCAGTGCTATAAAGTGTTTTGTTTTTAAATAAATAAAACTAAAAATTCAGAATACTAATGGTCATCAAATAATCACTGAATGCTTTCTCCCAATCAAAATCATGTGCGGCCTCAAGTTCAGATATATTATGAAAGCAGTGGTAAAAATAAGAGTTGCTGAAGAAGCAATCAAAACATTTATTGAGGCTTCTATAGGCTAAATATTTGTGGTCCTCCTTAACACTTCTTTCCCTCTCAATCAGTCAATCAACCAATCCCCAAAGCCTTTAAATTTCACCTGCTAAATAGTTCTCAAAAATGCCTACTTCTGAGGGCGTCCCTGGTGGCGCAGTGGTTGAGAGTCTGCCTGCCAATGCAGGGGACACGGGTTCGTGCCCCGGTCCGGGAAGATCCCACATGCCGCGGAGCGGCTGGGCCCGTGAGCCATGGCTGCTGAGCCTGCGCGTCCGGAGCCTGCGCTCCGCAACGGGAGAGGCCACAACAGTGAGAGGCCCGCGTACCACAAAAAAAAAAAAAAAAAAAAGCCTACTTCTCTTCATCCTCACAGCACAACTCTCGTCAAGCCACCACCATCACCACGTGGTGAGCCTCCTAACTAAACTCTGCATCTATTATTGGCCTCCTCAATCATTCCCACACATTAGCAGAAGTGATTTCCTGAAATGCACTTCTGTTTACATCATTCCCCTACTTAAAAGGGTCTGATACCTTCTCACTACTCAAGGTATAGTTTGAAACACCTAACAAGGCCCTACCTGATCTGGTTCCTCTTTCCTTCCCTAGGCTTATTTTGTACCATCTCCCCCTCATTTATATTCTTCAGTTCCTAAAACAAGCCATGTTCCTTCCATCTCAGGGCCTTTGCACCTACTGCTCCAAAAGTGTGTGTTCTTTGCCCTTCTGGCGAACTCTTTACCCTTCAGGTGGTATTAGAACTTCACTTTGTCAGGCAGACCTTCTCTGGTGTTCCTGAAATAGGTTGATTTTTTTGGATCTGTGTGCTTGGGGCACTCAGCATTTCTCCTACATGACTTTCACGGTTCTAATTACGTACCAGTTTATTTACTTGTTTTATGTTTGTTCCCCAGCTAGACTGCAAGGATTCGTAATAGAGATACAGTGTACAGCGTATCCTGTATGCCAGTGCTTGGTCATGATAGGATCTCAATATTTCTTTAAAGATCTGTGCTAAGGGTTTATATTTAGTCAGCCCTCCATATCCGAGGGTTCTGCATCCACATATTCAACCAAACAGACCGAAAATATTTGGGAAAAAAATTTCCAGAAAATTCCAAGAAGCAAAACTTGAATTTGCTGTGCCCAGGCCATTTACATTGTATTTACATTGTATTAGGTATTATTGGTAATCTAGAGATGATGTGAAGCGTATGGGAGGATGTGTGTAGGTTACATGCAAATACTGTATTTTTATATAAAGGACTTGAGCATCCTCAAATTTTGGTATCCGTTGAAGGGGAAGGTGGTTACCAGTCCCCCTCATATACCAAGCGACGACTGTATTTTAGCTGTTACGACCATCCTTAACTTAATGAATAACTACTGTTCCAGGAAGCAAGTGAAGTCTAGAAGGGTTAAGTACCTGGCCAAAAGTACTAAATGCTGTATTTAAAACCTGAACTCAGGTCTCATCACCTGAGTCCACCAGAGCTCCACACTATAGCACCTCTTCCACATACCAACAAGATGGTGGATTCAAATTTTCTAATTTTGAACCTAAATAACGGTGGAGCTGACTGGAAAAAATACACACATACCTAATAATCCCACTAAGTATTTTCCCTCCTACTTATAAATAATCCAACACAAGGAATCTATTTTGATTCTTGTGTTCTCAGGTCTATACTACATTTCCTTATTAATGGAGTAAAAATAATAACATGAGTTTAGAGAGTACTTTTTTAAAGACGTTATTAATAAAACCAGGAACTCAGGAGGGGAGGGAAAATGTCCAACTGACTCAGCCATGACAGTGCGCTCGCTCTGTTGCTTCTTCGAAAAAATAAGCA